ATATCGTAGAAAGCAGTTTTTAAAATGGAAGCAACTGTGTTTTCTACAATAGAGATTTACCTGGATAATCCTTTATTTAATTATTGGAGTATCATTATTTTAGACACTAATTTAGTGACATAATAAATTTCGACTAATTTTAGACCTAATTGATTACTTAGTATAATATTTTAGACCAAATTAATCAGTTAAGTGAACCAATATTTTAGCCCTCTAATAAATAAAGTAATACATTATTTATATAATCAATTAAATAATCGAATAAATTAAATGATACAGTATTTTATACGGAATAAATTAGGAATAGCATTCTCAATTGCATTGGCGTAATTTACTGTTCTCAGTACTAATTAAGGCTTACGTTATTCTGTGGGTTAAAAAAAATAGACAATATATGCAGAAAATATACAATTTAACCAGTGTCCACCCCCCCCCCCCCTTGGGAACAATAAGTCTGCTGTCGAGAAAAAATTCTGAAATCACTCTCTCCACCCCCCCCCCCCGGGTCACATAAACCACTACAAAATCTAGTACTGAATCTGTCTACTTAAAAGTCGATTCCTCAACCGCCCCGTGTATGTAAACACCGCGTTAACCTTCTACCAAGTATTCGATCATTTTTTATCTGTTTATCATTCATAAATCCCTCCCCCCCCACCCTCCCCTCCCCATTCATCTTGCTTTCGCCTCTGGCATTACTGCCCCCCTAAATTACTTATGAAGTGCCTTTCGGTTATCGTTTATTATGTGCTTTTTTTTCGTTCGCTGGTTATGCACTCCCCTCCCCCCCCCCCCCTCCACAGTCCCAGAAAAATGTGGGCCAAACTAAGTAAGATAAATTTAACTTGACGCAGTAGTTACAAAGCCGAATCTTAGACCAATTGAGTCACTTGGGGAATTCCCGTTGTCTGATTTATGGCTTAGTCGAGGAGAGTTTATACATTCGAACATAAAAAAAAAAACGTGTAAGAGGTCATACTCTTGAAAATTTATTTTAAACTTTTTATTTCCGTTATTCACATGGTTTCTTAGAAACATTGTTCTCCATTGGGGGCGGGGGGGTGGGGGGGGGGGGGGGGTGGGGGGGGGGCGGGGGTGCACTTGAAACTTCCGGATAAGGGCGCACTTAAAATTTCCTGGGGGCGGAACGGTTCAAGTATATATTTTGAATATCAACTACATATTATTATTTCGACATGCAAGGAAGGAGGTGCTACTTGTGTATGTGGTGGGTGAGGGGGAGTAAGGCGGCGGGGGCGAGGGGCGGGGGATGAAGAGAAAAGGCTAGGACAGTGCCCCCTCAAGTTACTCTGGTATCTATGTTTACAAGAACGGAGGAATATTATCTGAGACTTAGGTTTTAGTATCCTTAAGCTGGTAGGTTACATGGAATTCCCAAGTCCATCCAGAAATGAATGCGTTTCTAGATTTCTAGTATAAGGGGTCATCCATAAATGACGTTACACTCGTATGGGGGAGGGGGGTCCGTAATTTTGTGACGATGTGTGATGAGGGGGAGGGGGGGAGGGTTCAGATGTTGCGACGTCACACTTTTGCATTATAAAAAAGCAATGTTAGAAAACGAATTTTAGACGTTATTTTGCGTTTTAGATAACTGTTTTAATAAATTGTAATAGTTTAGACAAGATTTTAGAAAAATATCGATGTTTAAAAAAAATTCAACTGCAATTTTGAGGGGGGGGGGGGTTGTAGGTTGAGGTGTGACGTCATTTTAAGGTGGGGGGGAACTGGCTTTTTGTGACGACGTGTGACGGAGGGGAGGGGGGGGGAAGGTAGAAATCGTCAAAAAAAGCGTGACGTCATTAATGGATGACCCCTAAAAGTTAAAATGCCCGGTCAGTCAATTATGATAATCTTTTTCACGCTCATGCTCAAAACACATGGGGCAGATGAAGTAGAGTTCATCTGTTTTAATGACTTTGGAATATAGCGAATAATGCGATCATCACTATGCCCAGCGACATTATTTTCCCAAACTTAAGTCAGGTACCCATCACAGCTGGGTGGACTCAGAGACTTTCTACTTACTTACTCGATCCCGGGATCCGAACTCTAGACTTTCGGGTCAGCAGTCGTAACACGCCATCTGAGATGTTGTCTGTAGAAATAGGTAGACTCTACTCCATCTACCATATGGAACAGGTTTACATCTTTTAGTTCCTATAGGTTGCTAGGTTACAATGGAAGCTGGAACTATTTTTTCTAACTCCCATAGGCCACATCAAATGTAGAGGTCGCGCGTAGGAATACAACAAACATCCATCTTTGATATCAGTTTAATTTAATCTCGAATCCTCAATCTCCCCAGATATTGATAGATGTGGGGTAGATGATAGATAGGCAGATATGTCTTTTGGTATTAAAACATCCCATAATTGCCTACCCGAAAAACCAGTGGAAATTTTCCTATTATTATTATGCTATCAATTTCATGTCATCTTTATTTGATGTAGGCCTACAAAATTGTCCGTAAAATAAAAGGCATAAAGGAATATGTTTTTGTTGATTAATTGACTCAACTGTATAAATACAGAAAAATGCGTGTAAAAATACGCATGTGTATATGTATGAGTATGCGCATTTGTATATGTATGTGGGTTAGACTGGTGTGTTTATCCAGTGTTTAACCGTAAACTAAATTTAGGCTGTATCATTAGAGGAAACGTGTGTGGTGGTTGTGAGGTGGGGGTGGGGTGAGGTGGGGGTGATGGTGGGGGTGGTGGTGGGGTGGGGGATGACTGGGTAGGAGGGGGGGGGGGTCAAGCACGTGCGGCACTCATAAGCCAGGTCAGCGCTTCATCAACAGAAAAAAAAAAACAAAATCAATAGCAAATATGCCCTGCTCGTGTCCGGCCAAATGTCAAGGTCACCGGTCATTTCCCCCCCCCCCCCCCACCCCCATACGCTAAAGATCGATAGGTTTACATCGGCCCTGACCCCCATGTCCACTGCCCGTGATGATAGCCCGCTGGGGATGAAAGGGTGAATGTGTACTTTTACCGCTATATGGTGTACATTAAAGAGTCGTACTCTGTACATTTACCGCTGTATTATGTACGTTTATGGACGTACTGTGTACATTTACCGCTGTATTTTGTACGTTTAAGGGCGTACTGTGTACATTTACCGCTGTATTTTGTACATTTAAGGTAGTACTGTGTACATTTACCGCTGTATTTTGTACGTTTAAGGTCGCACTGTGTAGGCCAGGGGTCTCCAAACTACGGCCCGCGGGCCGCATGCGGCCCGCGAGGTCATTTTATCCGGCCCGCGACGATCTTTTTGTCCACTGAATAAATGTTTGTTGGAGGTGGCTGAGGAGCTTTGCATAGAAAATTCAAAACTATTTGAAAATATAGCTTTGTGTGCAAATAAAATTACTCGCCGTATTGCAGACATTGGTGAAAATATTGCGACTCAAATAGCGAAAAATTCAAGCAAGTTTCGCCATTTTTCAATTGCAATAGATGATTCGCTGGACAGCTGTTCCACCTCTCAACTTCTTGTGTTCATTAGAGGTGTGGATGAAGACATGAACATAACACAAGAGCTGGCTTCCCTACATATAATGTGTGACTCTGTAACCGATGAGGATATCTAACCATAGATAGTTCAGAGACAAACACAAAATCGCAAGATTTACTATATTTCACATCAGTAAGATTGCTAATTTTGCGAGAAAATTCTAAGCAGAGTATCTAAGAAAAGAAATAGGTGACTTCCTGATAGTAAAGGCAAGTCACAGCCATTATTGTCTGATGAAGAGTGGGTATAGAAATTGGCCTCTGCTGCTGACATAACTAGTCATTTAAATTTTCTGAACCTAAAACTGCAAGAGAGTGAAATCTAGTTGCTGATCTATACACTCACCTAAAGTGGTGGACACTTGAAATCTGTATATATTTCTATATAAATTATATTTCGTCGGGGGGGGGGGGGGCACGACCCTGAAGAGATGCCTTAAAGAAACTCTGGCCCCCGAGCTGATATTTGATAGTTAATGCGGCCCTCGGGCTGAAAAGTTTGGAGACCCCTGTTGTATAGCATCGTGAATGCCAAACAGCATAAACGCAAGCAGCTAACAGATTTTAATTTTAACATACCATAAATTACACTTAGATTTATTACCAGTCTTTCTTGTGTGCAAAAAAAAAAAATGAAAAAGACCACACCCATAAATCCAAGATTCACCCCCCCCCCCCCAATTTCCCACCCCAGTCCATTATTGAAACGTATCCGTTTCACAACGTACGTTGCCGCGACACCGGATATGCTCATGTCAAAGCGTTTCATGTTTTAATTTTACAGCAGGGGAGATAACTTAAAAACAAAATTTCAAATTTATTGCCCTTTTTCATGTGAATTAAAAATGTCTCGATCGATTTGAATTTAAAAAAAAAAATTCAATTTAAAAGTAAAATTAAAACCGGCATTAACAAATCTCAAGTTTGATTCCAGGTTGAAATCAGTAGACCGTCCTTGAGTCCACCCAGCTCTAATGGGTACCTAACCAGTGTTTCTTCCAAACTTTTTTCTCCTGTGGGGGATGGGGAGGGGCACTCTGCACCCCCCGAAGAGATGCCTGGAAGAAACTCTGTACCTAACTCACGTTAGAGAAAGTAAAGGTGGCGGGTCATAGAGCTAACCACACTGTCCCTTCATATGCCGAGGTCACAGAAACAAGTGAACTCTACTTCACGTGCCCTATAGACCGTCAGGTTTGGAAGGGGAACTTAACTACATTAACAATTATTCAGTAACTGTTTCACGGAAATTACATCCCCTACACAAAAAAAGGAAAGTATAATTATCACATCCGGTACAGCACAGCGTTTATTTATCAACCGGATTTAGCCGTAATAGTCTACCAGTCAAGCGACACCATAGCTCTGTAAATCTATGTCACGAGGCGACATAACCCCGCGGTGTGTTTCTTGTCTAAATTTTGGAGTGCTCTTATCTTAGTTTTCCCATGGTGCAAAACGAAGTGGGGTAAAGAAAAAATAGAGAGTGGGTTGGAGATTAATCCGCTTAGCTGAAGGCATGGACATTATTTTGTTTTAAAATATTGTGGCTTGACTGTGGTGATAGTTATTCAAAGTAGCCGTTGATAAAATGTTCGTGTTGATTCTTTAATGTGTTGTTAGGGTTTTAAATAGTTGATGTGTTCTATGTGGGATTAAACTTCTAACAAAAACGTGTGTTTTAATTCAGATTAGCTTTGTGTATAGGGTGACGTTTAGATATGTAATGGTTTTCGGGACTGCTTCTTATTTCTTTAAAAGTGTAGCACGCGTTCTGGAGTCGAAACACACCTATGTAGAGGTGATAATACATAAACACAGTTACCTAGGGGTCATAATACATAAACACACCTACGTAGGGGTTATAATACATAAACACAACTACTTAGGGGTCATAAATCATAATACTTAACCACAACTATTTAGGGTTCATAGAACATATACGATCATAATACATTAGCACAACTATTTAGGGGTCAAAATACATAAACACAGCTACTCAGGGGTCATAATACATAAACACACGTACCTAGGGGTCATAATATATAAACACAGTTACCCTGGGGTCATAATACATAAACACAGTTACCTAGGGGTCATAATACATAAAAGCAACTACGTAGGGGTCATAATATGTAAACACATCTACCTATGGGTCATAATACATAAACACAGCTACCCAGGGGTCATAATACATAAACACACGTACCTAGGGGTCATAATACATAAAAACAACTACGTAGGGGTCATAATACGTAAACACATCTACCTATGGGTCATAATACATAAACACATCTACCTATGGGTCATAATACATAAACACACACCTAGGGGTCATGATACATAAACACAACTACATGGGGGTCATAATACATTAATACACAAATATAGCTACAAGTAGTATATTAGGTCGCTTTTGGACCGCATTTTTGGCGGAGGAGCGCAGGGTGAGGAACAACGACATATAGTAAAATACTCGGGAGCAGGATGTGGAAGCGGGACAATGACATATAGCAAAATACTCCCAGCCTGGCGCATCGGGATGTGGAGGGTGGGTGAGCAGGATGCGCAGGCGGGACAACGACATATAGTAAAATACTACGCCAACTGGCGTTGGGGGAGGTGGTGGGGAAGTAGGTCACCTTTTGGTGACCTTGTGACGTAATCAATGACCTTGTGACGTAATTAATGACCTTGTGACGTAATTAGTAACATTATGACGTAATCATTGACCTAGTTACGTAATTTTAATGCGTTTTTTAATTAGTTTTAATGAGTTTTTTAAATTTTAATTAATTTTTGACCTAGTTACGTAATTTTATTGTACTTTGTTTGTGTTTTGTTTGTTTATTTTTAATAAGTTTAATTAATTCGATTTTTTATTTATTTTGTATTTGTTTGATTTTAACTTTTTAATTATTTTTATTTTGTTTATTTTTAATTTAATTATTTTATTTTTAATAAGTTTAATTAATTTGATTTTTATTTATTTTGTATCTAGTTACGTAATTTTAATTTTATTTTATAATTAGTTTGAAATTTTATTATCGAGTTACGTAATTTAATTACTTTGATTGTATTTTTATTTTGTTTAATTTGTTTGTTTACTTGTTGTTTAATTTAATTACTTTGTTTATATTGTGTAATTTTTATTAACGAGTTACGTAATTTGATTATTTGTTTACTTTTTAATTATTTTTATTTTGTTTATTTTTAATTTTATTTTATTTTATAATTAGTTAAATTATTATTAACTAGTTACGTAATTTGATTTTAATTACTTTGTTTAATTTAATTACTTTGATATATTTCTTTTCTTTGTTGTTTAATTTGTTGGTTTGTTTGAATGTATGTATGTTTTAAATAAAAGACTAACACTAGCCGTGTACTTTGTGAATAACATCCATTAAAGATAACGATCAGCCACAGCTGTTACGTATCGACCCGCCCGCGAAGTTTTCTCACCGCTGCCCGTTTTAATGGGAATGTATTGATCGCAGCCGCTGGCCCATCACAGCATGATGTCCCACCTAATTAAATTTTTTGTTATGCTTCACCGAGTTACCCCCGCTCGGTTGACGGGTTATGGTAATTAACGACATACATTAAGTAGCTTTCCGCGAAGCACTTAGGTCATTATGCAACAGCTGTTGTGCGACAGCTGGTGCTGTAATTAGGCCGTTCAACCGGATAAATGACCGCGAAAATTGTGTTCTAATCACTTCAACTTCGGACTTCAAATCAAGCGTCACCGCGACTTATCCAGCCTGCGACCTCTGTTGACTCCTGAGACTAAACCCACGCCAGCTTTACCAACCATCACATCCACCTAACCCTATACGGACCACATCTTTTGTGCGTGTTTATTCTATTAAAGGTAAGGTTAATATTACTTTTTGTTTTAAGGGAGCTAACCCCATTAAAATACCCTTTAAATAAATATGTATCTAAATAAGTAGTCATATGTATTCCTTTTAGTGTACAACCGACCCTACGAGACAGACTAACCATCGACCGAACCTATTGAACTACCTACCCATCCCCGAGGCACCCACTGAACCAAACGTTCCAGCTACATCCAACTACACCATTTCGGATCTCCACACACAGCTAACTTCACGTTCAACTTACGCGTTCAAACCCATAGGTACGTTCATTTTTAATTTTGTTTTAAGTATGATTTTTGTTTCATGCATTTTATTTTATGTATTTATTTTTATTCTACAGCCAGTGACCTACCCAGTCATCCAACTACTAGACACTTCGTCAATAATGCAAACCGCCCAGTCTACCACCCATCCAGCCATGAGCCGTAACAAGTGTGACATATGCAACCGTGTGTTCACCCGCAAAGACGGTTTGACAAGACATCACGACTCTGTTCACCGCCGACAAGGACATCTCTGTACAACATGCGGGAATCTATTTACACGACTTGACAATTTAACAAGACATTGTAAAACAACACACACCAACCAAACATCACCGACCGACACCCCATCAGCAACCGATAGACAAACTCCACAACCACTATACGTGACCGACAGACAAACCATGCAACCCCTAGCAGCGACCCAAACAACTCGTACCATGACCAACACTATTCCATTAAAGCGACATACGATGTATGACGACATAACAAACAACAAACGCGTAAAGACTAACAACCACAGTAACGTTAATTCACACACCACTATTTTTCCTGTAGACGACCTAGCCATGATACGTTATACATGTGACATATGTGAGCATGCATTCAACTGCAAACATGGTTTGAAACGACATCACGACTCTGTTCACCGCCGACAAGGACATCTCTGTACAACATGCGGGAATCTATTTACACGACTTGACAATTTAACAAGACATTGTAAAACAACACACACCAACCAAACATCACCGACCGACACCCCATCAGCAACCGATAGACAAACTCCACAACCACTATACGTGACCGACAGACAAACCATGCAACCCCTAGCAGCGATCCAAACAACTCGTACCATGACCAACACTATTCCATTAAAGCGACATACGATGTATGACGACATACCAAACAACAAACGCGTAAAGACTAACAACGACAGTAACGTTAATTCACACACCACTATTTTTCCTGTAGACGACCTACCCATGATACGTTATACATGTGACATATGTGAGCATGCATTCACCTGCAAACATGGTTTGAAACGACATCACGATACGGCACACAGACGACGAAGACATACATGTAGAGAATGTTTGCAAGAATTTACAAGAAAATATAATTTAACGAACCACTATAAAATACCACACACCATCAAAACATTACCAGACGACACATCAGCGACCGACACGAATATCCCATAGGATGACTTCTCACAGACATCTCCTTACACCCAACACAGAAACTCACTTTCTTACTTTTATATTAAAAGACAAGTAGACACAATGTGACATCTCCCCTAGACTGTAGACCGATGGGGTTGTTTTTATTCAATAAAAATTTATTATATATGGTCTTTTGTGATTTTTTAATGTGTTATTGTTTTGTTACTTGTCCCTGAAAGTTATGTAACTCGGTATCCTGTATAAGAGGTATGACTGGAATCAAAATCACGGGAGAGAACGTGACGTACATCGCGATATTTGAAAACAGGGCGATGTTTAACCTCAACCAAAAAAGACAATGAACCTAGAAGGAAGACGAATATATATCTTAGTCTTGCAGCAGATTACCTTCCCATGTTCGCTTTAGTATTACAGTTTTCATCAAACTTCTTTTTGACTTGAACTTCGTTAATTTTTAAGAAAGTTTACTTATACATAATACATCACGTCTAATGACAATTTTTTATTTTTACCACTCAATGTATTTTCTTTTTCTATATCTTACATTGTCATCTTAATTTTTGATCACCTTAGTAAAAATTTGCTTAAGATTATAAACTTCAAGTTTTAAAAAACAACAACGTTATAGTACGTCGTGTCAAATGACACACCGTTTAAAATGTCTACATTTAAAGTTCACCAAAATAATGACGTAAAATCTAAATATGATATGACGTTAGCATACATATCATTCAACCTAATCACTCTAAAGTACAAATCAATAATTTTTATTGATTAAGGGGCTGGGTGAGTTATTTTTATTCGGGTGCCCAGGGAAGGTTTGGAGTTGGTTGGGACAGATTTTATACACGAGTCGGTGACGTTTTCACCGAGGCAGGGTTCGAATCTAGACCATGCATGTTTTGGAATTGTTAGGGAGAGTTAAACTAAGGTCGGTGAAGTTTTCACCGAGGTTGGTTTTGAACTCGGAACATGCATGTTTTGGAATCGGTAGGTGTAGAGTCCATACTAGGGTCGGGGAGTTTTGCTAACACTGAGGCAGGTTGCAAAGTTGGCACATGCATGTTTAGGAATTGATGGTAGCCGAGTTCATACTAGTGTCGGTGAAGGTTGGTTTTGATCTCGGAACATGTATGTTTTGAAATTGTTGGTAACCGAGTTCATACTAGGGTCAGGGGAGTTTTTGTTAACACCGAGGCAGGTTGCAAAGTTGGTACATGCATGTTTAGGAATTGTTGGTAGCCGAGTTCATACTAGTGTCGGTGAAGGTTGGTTTTGAACTCGGAGCATGCATGTTTTGAAATTGTTGGTAACCCAGTTCAGACTAGGGACGGGGGTGTTTTCACCGAGGCAGGTTACAAAGTCCGTATATGCATCATTGGAATTGTTAGGTAGAGTTAAACTAAGGTCGGTGAAGTTTTCACCGAGGTAGGTTACAAAGTTGGTACATGGATGTTTAGGAATTGATGGCAGTCGAGTTCATACTAGGGTCGGGGAATTTTGTTAGCACTGAGGCAGGTTGGAAAGTTGTTACATGCATGTTTGGGAATTGTTGGTAGCCGAGTTCATACTAGTGTCGGTGAAGGTTGGTTTTGAACTCGGAACATGCATGTTTTGGAATTGTTGGTAGCCGAGTTCATACTAGTGTCGGTGAAGGTTGGTTTTGAACTCGGAACATGCATGTTTTGGAATCGGTAGGTGTAGAGTCCATACTAAGGTCGGTGAAGTTTTCACCGATGGTGGTTTCAAAGTTAGTACAGGCATGTTTTGGAAGTGTTAGGGGCCGAGTTCATAGTAGTGTCGGTGAAGGTTGGTTTTGAACTCGGAACATGCATGTTTTGAAATTGTTGGTAACCGAGTTCATACTAGGGACGGGGGCGAGGGCGGCGGACAAAGTTGTCGATGTAGGTAGGGTGCAAGAGATATTCAACGAGGAGTGGTGTCTACAAGTTATGTATCCCAGTCTGTTGGAGTGGTTTCTAGGGGGTTGTAATATTAGTTGAATAAATATTTGTCTGTAGGATTGTCATACAGCCTTTGTCTCTTAAATGGAATAGGTATAGTGCGGGTAGTAGTAGTAGTACGGTCTGTTTATCTAACGGTTGGTATTGAGGTTAGTGTGATGACGCAAGGTTGGATGGGAGAAGGGGAACGGGGTTGCGGACAAAGGGAAGGGGAAGGGCGAATAGTGATAAAAATAACTCACCCAGCCCCTTAATCAATAAAAATTATTGATTTGTACTTTAGAGTGATTAGGTTGAATGATATGTATGCTAACGTCATATCATATTTAGATTTTACGTCATTATTTTGGTGAACTTTAAATGTAGACATTTTAAACGGTGTGTCATTTGACACGACGTACTATAACGTTGTTGTTTTTTAAAACTTGAAGTTTATAATCTTAAGCAAATTTTTACTAAGGTGATCAAAAATTAAGATGACAATGTAAGATATAGAAAAAGAAAATACATTGAGTGGTAAAAATAAAAAATTGTCATTAGACGTGATGTATTATGTATAAGTAAACTTTCTTAAAAATTAACGAAGTTCAAGTCAAAAAGAAGTTTGATGAAAACTGTAATACTAAAGCGAACATGGGAAGGTAATCTGCTGCAAGACTAAGATATATATTCGTCTTCCTTCTAGGTTCATTGTCTTTTTTGGTTGAGGTTAAACATCGCCCTGTTTTCAAATATCGCGATGTACGTCACGTTCTCTCCCGTGATTTTGATTCCAGTCATACCTCTTATACAGGATACCGAGTTACATAACTTTCAGGGACAAGTAACAAAACAATAACACATTAAAAAATCACAAAAGACCATATATAATAAATTTTTATTGAATAAAAACAACCCCATCGGTCTACAGTCTAGGGGAGATGTCACATTGTGTCTACTTGTCTTTTAATATAAAAGTAAGAAAGTGAGTTTCTGTGTTGGGTGTAAGGAGATGTCTGTGAGAAGTCATCCTATGGGATATTCGTGTCGGTCGCTGATGTGTCGTCTGGTAATGTTTTGATGGTGTGTGGTATTTTATAGTGGTTCGTTAAATTATATTTTCTTGTAAATTCTTGCAAACATTCTCTACATGTATGTCTTCGTCGTCTGTGTGCCGTATCGTGATGTCGTTTCAAACCATGTTTGCAGGTGAATGCATGCTCACATATGTCACATGTATAACGTATCATGGGTAGGTCGTCTACAGGAAAAATAGTGGTGTGTGAATTAACGTTACTGTCGTTGTTAGTCTTTACGCGTTTGTTGTTTGGTATGTCGTCATACATCGTATGTCGCTTTAATGGAATAGTGTTGGTCATGGTACGAGTTGTTTGGATCGCTGCTAGGGGTTGCATGGTTTGTCTGTCGGTCACGTATAGTGGTTGTGGAGTTTGTCTATCGGTTGCTGATGGGGTGTCGGTCGGTGATGTTTGGTTGGTGTGTGTTGTTTTACAATGTCTTGTTAAATTGTCAAGTCGTGTAAATAGATTCCCGCATGTTGTACAGAGATGTCCTTGTCGGCGGTGAACAGAGTCGTGATGTCGTTTCAAACCATGTTTGCAGTTGAATGCATGCTCACATATGTCACATGTATAACGTATCATGGCTAGGTCGTCTACAGGAAAAATAGTGGTGTGTGAATTAACGTTACTGTGGTTGTTAGTCTTTACGCGTTTGTTGTTTGTTATGTCGTCATACATCGTATGTCGCTTTAATGGAATAGTGTTGGTCATGGTACGAGTTGTTTGGGTCGCTGCTAGGGGTTGCATGGTTTGTCTGTCGGTCACGTATAGTGGTTGTGGAGTTTGTCTATCGGTTGCTGATGGGGTGTCGGTCGGTGATGTTTGGTTGGTGTGTGTTGTTTTACAATGTCTTGTTAAATTGTCAAGTCGTGTAAATAGATTCCCGCATGTTGTACAGAGATGTCCTTGTCGGCGGTGAACAGAGTCGTGATGTCTTGTCAAACCGTCTTTGCGGGTGAACACACGGTTGCATATGTCACACTTGTTACGGCTCATGGCTGGATGGGTGGTAGACTGGGCGGTTTGCATTATTGACGAAGTGTCTAGTAGTTGGATGACTGGGTAGGTCACTGGCTGTAGAATAAAAATAAATACATAAAATAAAATGCATGAAACAAAAATCATACTTAAAACAAAATTAAAAATGAACGTACCTATGGGTTTGAACGCGTAAGTTGAACGTGAAGTTAGCTGTGTGTGGAGATCCGAAATGGTGTAGTTGGATGTAGCTGGAACGTTTGGTTCAGTGGGTGCCTCGGGGATGGGTAGGTAGTTCAATAGGTTCGGTCGATGGTTAGTCTGTCTCGTAGGGTCGGTTGTACACTAAAAGGAATACATATGACTACTTATTTAGATACATATTTATTTAAAGGGTATTTTAATGGGGTTAGCTCCCTTAAAACAAAAAGTAATATTAACCTTACCTTTAATAGAATAAACACGCACAAAAGATGTGGTCCGTATAGGGTTAGGTGGATGTGATGGTTGGTAAAGCTGGCGTGGGTTTAGTCTCAGGAGTCAACAGAGGTCGCAGGCTGGATAAGTCGCGGTGACGCTTGATTTGAAGTCCGAAGTTGAAGTGATTAGAACACAATTTTCGCGGTCATTTATCCGGTTGAACGGCCTAATTACAGCACCAGCTGTCGCACAACAGCTGTTGCATAATGACCTAAGTGCTTCGCGGAAAGCTACTTAATGTATGTCGTTAATTACCATAACCCGTCAACCGAGCGGGGGTAACTCGGTGAAGCATAACAAAAAATTTAATTAGGTGGGACATCATGCTGTGATGGGCCAGCGGCTGCGATCAATACATTCCCATTAAAACGGGCAGCGGTGAGAAAACTTCGCGGGCGGGTCGATACGTAACAGCTGTGGCTGATCGTTATCTTTAATGGATGTTATTCACAAAGTACACGGCTAGTGTTAGTCTTTTATTTAAAACATACATACATTCAAACAAACCAACAAATTAAACAACAAAGAAAAGAAATATATCAAAGTAATTAAATTAAACAAAGTAATTAAAATCAAATTACGTAACTAGTTAATAATAATTTAACTAATTATAAAATAAAATAAAATTAAAAATAAACAAAATAAAAATAATTAAAAAGTAAACAAATAATCAAATTACGTAACTCGTTAATAAAAATTACACAATATAAACAAAGTAATTAAATTAAACAACAAGTAAACAAACAAATTAAACAAAATAAAAATACAATCAAAGTAATTAAATTACGTAACTCGATAATAAAATTTCAAACTAATTATAAAATAAAATTAAAATTACGTAACTAGATACAAAATAAATAAAAATCAAATTAATTAAACTTATTAAAAATAAAATAATTAAATTAAAAATAAACAAAATAAAAATAATTAAAAAGTTAAAATCAAACAAATACAAAATAAATAAAAAATCGAATTAATTAAACTTATTAAAAATAAACAAACAAAACACAAACAAAGTAATTAAAATCAAATTAATTAAAAAACAATAAAATTACGTAACTAGGTCAAAAATTAATTAAAATTTAAAAAACTCATTAAAACTAATTAAAAAACGCATTAAAATTACGTAACTAGGTCAATGATTACGTCATAATGTTACTAATTACGTCACAAGGTCATTAATTACGTCACAAGGTCATTGATTACGTCACAAGGTCACCAAAAGGTGACCTACTTCCCCACCACCTCCCCCAACGCCAGTTGGCGTAGTATTTTACTATATGTCGTTGTCCCGCCTGCGCATCCTGCTCACCCACCCTCCACATCCCGATGCGCCAGGCTGGGAGTATTTTGCTATATGTCATTGTCCCGCTTCCACATCCTGCTCCCGAGTATTTTACTATATGTCGTTGTTCCTCACCCTGCGCTCCTCCGCCAAAAATGCGGTCCAAAAGCGACCTAATATACTACTGCTACATAGGGTTCAAATATCTTATCACAAGTACTCAAAACGGAGATACCTGGAGAGGGAATTTCTCAAAAAAAAACAACTGACCATGACCCTAAACCAAACCCTGAATGCTTGCTAAATTCGCACACATTTTCAGTTAATTTTCTATGTGTCTGTTAACCAGTATAAACCTGCATGTAGGATTTTATTAACAAATTCCGCCCTCCCCTTCCATCCCTCCACCCCGACAGAAACGCCCCATAGAATGATCCCACGTAACTTGTGTTTGTTTTATTGCGGTAACTGGCGGAGCTTAGACGTGTAACCCGAGTCCACGACACGGAGCTCAGTTGGCCAGGATTTTGTGAATATTCACAACTAACATATTGAGACCCACAAGCATTGTAAAGGGTTTATTTTATTTTCAATAATACGACAGAATTATTCTATAGATTTATCAAGTGTATATAAATTTGTTTTGTTTTTTAACGCATACACATGCATGTTAATATAAGGTGTTCATACACAAACATATTATCAATAAATAAGCCATATACCTACATGACTCGGTTGGGGGTACCTATAAATCCTAAATTAATAAAACAAGTTTGAATATGTTTCTTTTTCAACGGCTTTAATACTCAGCTTTTTTAACAAGTTAAAGCTTTAAAATACATTATGTTTTGTAGTCTCCCCTTGCTACACAAGAGTTACAATAGACGCGATTGTTTCCCCTTACCTCGCAAAAAAAGCCATTAGTTTCGCGACTCCTAAAATTGTGTCTAATTCTTACATAACCAAGGGGTCATCCATAAATGACGTCACGCTTTTTTGACAATTTTTACCTCGCCCCTCCCCTCCGTCACACGTCGTCACAAAAAGCCAGACCCACCCTAAAATGACGTCACACCTCAGCCTACAACCCCCCCCCCCCTTAAAATTGCTGTTGAATTGTTCTAAAAATATCGATATTTTTCCAAAATCTTGTCAGAACTCTGTCAACATAGATTATTTTGATCAATTCCTGTTACAATTTATTAAAAACGTTTTCTGAAACGCGAAATAACGCTAAAACTCGTTTCCTAACATTGCTTTTTTAATGATGAAAAAGTGTGACGTCACACAATCTACCCCCCCCCCCACCCCTTCCCCTCATCACACACCGTCACAAAATTACGGACCCCCCTCCCCCTACGAGTGTGACGTCATTTATGGATGACCCCCAACCGCTTAATAAAACGGCAACATTCACTTCTAATGACGTTGAGGAATTTTTAGTCAATCTAACACGTCTTTAAAAACTCAAGATTTTAAGAAATTTGATAGATTTTAAAAACCAGAAAGGTTTTCCCCTTTCAACTCCCTTATATTGGTTGGCCCGCAACGTTTAACGAGTGGGAAAGTTAAGGAGCTAAATACATGTAAGGCGTCATTACATTATTAGAGTTCGGCGTGGTGGGTTGGTAGAGCTCTTGGTTGCTAAAACGAAAAGTCCCGAGTTCGAACTCCCAAACAGATAAGGCTCGATAGAAAACAAAAACCAATATAGAGACACAACTCCAAAAACTGGTGCTTTGTAGATTGTTTTTGGATGGATTCTTCTTCTTCGTTCGTGGATCACCTCCCCCCCCCCCCCCCAACACAATTAAGTATACGTGTCAACGTGTTATGCGCCATTGAGGCATGCTTTTCTTTTTGGATTTGCTTCAATAGCTTTGTCCAACCAAGAACAAACTACAAGGCAGCAGTTGTTTGATTTTGGAGTTGTCTCTCCTAGAAGAGTGCCTGTCCCCAGCTAACGAGCCTCGTCTGCCCGAGGGTTTGAACGCAAGACTTTTTTTTCGGTTTAGCTACCATGAACTTTACTGGCTCGACCACGCCGACTCCATAGATCAGGGGTCTCCAAACTATTCAGTCCGAGGGCCGCATTAACTATCAAATTTCAGTTCGGGGGCCAGTTAATCCAAACATGTCTTTGATTTTTCTGGTCAAAGTTCCTCAGCCATCACCAACAAACGTTTTTTTCCGTGGACAAAAAGATCGCCGCGGGCCGGATGAGAGGACCTCGCGGGCCGGTTCCGGCCCGCGGGTCGTAGTTTGGAGACCCCTGCCATAGATGGATAAAGGCTGTGGAAGCTAACCCAGTAAGAAAATAAGGTGTCAACGCCCTATACGGCGCATAACATGTTGACACGTAATACTTTATTCTGTTGGTGGAAAATTCCATCAAACACTGCATTTAAGAACGAAAAACGAATTTAAAAAAAAATTACTTTATTATTGTTTTCACCAAAGCAAAAAATATAATTTAAATTCGAAGGTAAATCTAGTTGCCTTTGAATGGAAAATACATTTTTACTAAAACGTAAAGTGATTTTTGGTAATTAAAATGATACAATATTTCTCTTATATTAAATTTTAATAACGTATTTAAAAAAAAATTAACTGAAAATTTAACTTTTTTTTTTTAACTTTAAAACTAGAATCGAATAAATTTCAAATATAAAAAATACACAGTTATTATTTCTCCCCACCCCTCCACGTTCCTGAGCTAAAAAAACAAATACAAAAACTAAAGCTTAATTAATTACTCTTCCATTAGCTGCTTAAAATCTGACCAGAGCTTCCCTTACCGAGTAAAAAAATCATCGACACGCCGATGATTGCATTGTTTGTTTAGCCCCGATCAATAAATTCTTCTCTCAGCGCGGACGTCTTGAGCTTTTAAAAAATTGTGTATCACGCCCTTGGAGAAATGCCCTTTTAAAAATTCTCGCTTCCGAGTGTGTACGGTAGAAATTCCGGGTCCCTGTTCATTGGTTCTTGACCTTCGTTGTGTTAGGATTGTGTTTAGTTGAAGTCGTTAGGTCCAGAAGATCATGATTGTGAGGTAAAGGTCCTTGTGATGGACTAAGGTCAGGATTGTGAAAATGTGTTGTGAGACCTAGATGGTCATGAATGCATGGCAAAGGTCCTCATCATAAGCTGGTTGTCATTATAAGTCAGAGGTCTTTATAATGGACTCATGTTATTGTAAGGCAAAGATCTTTATAGTGGACTCTCATTGTAAGGCAAAGGTCTTTATAATGGACTCATGTCATTATAAGGCAAAGGTCTTTATAATGGACTCATGTCATTATAAGGCAAATGTCTTTATAATGGACTCATGTCAGTATAAGGCAAAGGTCTTTATAATGGACTCATGTCATTATAAGGCAAAGGTCTTTATAATGGGCTCAGGTCATTGTATGGCAAAGTTCTTTATATGGACTCTATTTATTGTGGCAAAGGTCTTTATAATGGACTCAGATATGCCCTGAGACTTAGAAAATGCTTTGTCATTGATTAGGCTATGATTGTCATAAAATAAATTCGTAGTTTAAATTACATTTATAGGCAGTTTTATTTTCGTTAGCAAAATTAGGGTTAGATTCTACATCTTTAAAAAAAATTGTTCGTTAAAAAAGTTTTTTTTGTCTAAGAGGCTTATTCGGTTTTAGAAGGAAATAAAAATTTGAAGCACTGGCAATTTTTATTTCCATTCGATAGCAATCATTGAAGTTCAGTAAAAAAAATTGTTACTTTTAAAATTTAGTCTCAAGACCTTATTCTTCAAAGTCAAGTTAAGAAGTTGAGTTGACTTTAAAATTTGTGTTTGACTGTACAATATGACTGTGCTCAATATGTGACTTAAAAACGTGTGCATGTTTCATGGAAAAATAAAAAAATAGACACGTCGTGTTGACTAAAGACATTCGAATGTGTTGTGGCTATGAACGTTTTTAAAGGACCACAAACGGATGCTATAAATAACACAGGGAAAACCCGTGACTAACACTTTAAAATCATGGAGAAAGAAGTTTCCAAGGAAAAGGGAAAATCCGTAAGTTTTTTTTTAGCATCATGATTCTATATAGTATATACTTTTGTATTTTTAAAAGAGAAAAGTTATTTTAATAAATATTTGAGAGAATTATGGAAACATAATTTTACAACAAAATGAAACATCCTTAAGTTGTATTTTTAGCACAGTGGTTCTTAACATGGGTTCGATCGAACCCCAAGGTTTTTTTGTCAGTCTCAAGGGTTCGATCGGATTTTGTCAGTGCGGACGATAAAACTATTAAGAAGGGTTCTGTGAATGTGCATATGAAACTGGTGGGGTTCGGTGCCTCCAAAAAGTTTAAGAACCACTGTTCAAGCATCATGGTTTTAAATATTTAGAATATTTATACTATTAAAAAGCAAAAAAATAAATAAATTGGAAATAGATATTTATTTTAATACAGTAGATACATCCAGTTGATTAATTACTTTAATTAAAAAATATAAATCAACAGAATAAAACATCGAATTCCGTGTATGATAAAACTATTTTTCATGCGACATTCATAAGGAATCCTTTTCCTCGCACCCCCCCCCCCCCCTCCGCCTTCTAACCCACGCGCATGAGGTACCCTATAAAGTAGACCTAGTTAGTCAATGGTGCAAAACTTTTCTACTACAAAACGTGTTTTGGAAAGTTAACCCAATACTGTGTTTAGAGTACAGCACTGTATTACTTTGTTGTATTTTATTAAAAATAAATAACTGACGTCATGTTGTTTTAACAGACTCACTCCATCCTCGCCCCCACCCGCCAGAAACTATCGTATTCCTTGAAAACCCACTTGACAAATCAAAACGCTTGACTATTTATAGAAAGCACGTCTGTTGCTAAATATAAACGGTTGTCTCTGTTAGCAAATACTGATGTAAACAACTTTGATTACTACTCACCAGTTTTCAATGACCAGTGTCTAGTTTTGTCCACTTGTATGAGAAGTAGAGGCGGTTATGTTCGGGCCGTTTACTTCTGCTATGGCTTAGCTGGTGGACAGTGTTTCTTCCAGACTTTTTCTCCGGGGGGCACTTGTTATTTTCGGGGGGGGGGGGGGGGGTGGATGGGGGGGGGGGGGGCGGGGGCAACAACATTTTCCTCTGGGGGTGGGGCGGACACTTGTAGAAGTATATGTTTTCTATATAAATTCCATTTCGTTCGGGGGGAGGGGGGTAGACTTTCTTCGGGGGGACTATGCCCCCCCCCTCCCCACCGAAGAGATGCCTGGAAGAAACTCTTGTGGAGGGGTGGGCAAGGGCGCCAGTGCGCGACTCTAGGAAGCCGCTAAATAGGGGTAGTAAAATAATATTTAAAAAGCTTTTCTATGAGCTGCGTTAAGAAAAAAATACCTATACTTGGTTTTACAGAATGATTAAGGGATTAAAACAACGAATAAGCCCTTCTTAATTAATAATCTTTTTTTTTTTTAAATTTGTGTGTATCTAAGTTAAGGTACATAAGGGAACATATGTGCCGATATCAGGGTATTTAATTGATAAATTTAATGACACCCATATGTTTTAAAGAGTCCCTGATACATGCAAACATTTTCCCTTCAGTTCCTAAACTAAGATGCACACAAAAACATGTTTATTAATTAAGAAGTGGTTTTATTTTCCGGAGCCTAGCCCTTTCAACTGTTATCTACGTTGATGGTATAACAGGAAAGCAATGACCGTCTAGCTAAAATTGTTATTAGCCAATGATCAGGAAAAAGACCTCCCCCTCCCCCCCCCCCCCACACACACAGTTGTCTCTTCAGATTTGTAGCTTAACCTACACTAAGAACAGAAAGGGTATTGGTGTATTGGTGTGTGTGTTTGTGTGTGTGTATGTGTGTTTGTGTGTGTGCGGGGGTGTTTCTCCAAATTTTTGCGAATCAAGAAAAATGTAACAAAAATGTATATGTTATTACTTATAACAATCATGAAATATATTTTTGTTTACCAAACACTAGTTTCTAGTATTCTAAAATCAGTAAATTTCCTCAAAGAGATAAGATGATTATCGAGAAAAAATGTTTAGGTTGCAATATAATGTTAATCAATGCCGATAGGGTTTGGGTCATCCTTTACCTAGATGGTTAAATATCTTCTATTTAACCAGCTATTTTAATCTGGCTAATTTATGTCTACACGGCTATTTTTATTTTATTTCTTTAATTAATTTAAAATTGTAATTGCTGAGCCTTAATTCATTACGCAACTAACTTCTGTCCTATAGGGCTTGTAAGTAGGTCACAACTTCTCGTTCTCGTACTATGCAGCTAGTAATTTTCGAGACCGTTGACTTACAAGCCCTATACCTGTAGGCTACTTAATGTGAAAAAATCATCGTCTGCACTTTTATTTATTCATAGATTCGCTGTTTTTTAATTTGTAATTAATTGCTGATAAAGATTTACATTAAATTATCATTTATTCAAGGCATATTATATAGACATCAGTATTTAAAAGAATAAATGTATTACTCTCTGCAAGTGTTGTATTCTTACATTAAACTTTAAAAAAAAAATTAATTTCATTTCTTAAAACCCCTTAGGGGACGTAAACAGAGAAATCTGTTAATCTAAACCAAGTTACCTCCCTTCCTCGTAAAGGTAGATCACTGAGATAATATCCGGTGTCGCATCTTGTGTCAGACTAGACCAGGGGTCGGCAACCTTTTGAAGCGGAAGAGCCAAAAGTTACAATTTTCAAAATTTCCCTGGTTGTAAAGAGCCACTAACATTTTTTTTTATTTCAAATATTTTATTTTTTGATTAAGATTATTAGTATTTGTGCAAGGAGCTGGAGAGCCGCATCTTGATATCAAAAGAGCCGCATGCGGCTCGCGAGCCGCAGGTTGCCGACCCCTGGACTAGACCCATCTGTTGTGAGTGAACTGGTGTGCTGTGTGTTCGCTTGTTGTGTGTCGCGTGCTGCACTGTGCGCGCGCCGATGTGGTGGTTTTAATGACGCCGAGTGTCACTTTGCTGACTCTTGAGTCAGTCACGCTTCATTGGATATGTAATTTATTTTTCTGGATTTTTATATTTTTCGTCGTATTTGGGCATTTTAGCTTGTTTTCATAGTGTTATAATTAGTGGTGACTTTTGGTGACTAGATGTGGTTATTGGTGACTTGTGGTGATTCGTTGTGTATAACCCGCGCACTTGTGGATCATACTCGATATTGACGAGCCAATGATTTCTCTCAATTAACAGTGGTCGTTTTTCATGGTTTGGATATAAATTTTGTGCAATACTATGACTTAACTAATGACCTTACGTCGCGTTACTGACCTAACTAGTGAAGTAACTAATGAGCTAGCTAACGGCATGTACAGTTAACTCGCGCTTAGTAAAGGGAGAAAATAATGATGGGCGGGGCAGATTGTTTTTTAAAGAATCCATGTGTTGCAGTGTTCACTTAAAAAAGTTGTGTAATACGTTGGCCATTTTTTCATATCATGCGTTGTGTTAAAAGTTCGCTACTTATGTTAACATTTGTTATAAGTGGACCTGTTAACTCTATTTGCTCGCATGTGTTCTGTTAAAAGCTGGTTAAATTTGTTAACATTTGTTAGAGGTTGACTCTGTAATTATGTGTTGTATGTCAAGTCAGCAACATTTTGTTAACACGTTTTGCAAAACTCCACCATATTCTAATCATATTAATGATACACTTTTAAATAGTTATTAAAGTTCGATTATTATCATCAGAGAGACATGAGTTATGGATGATTATTATAGCGAAAGATACCGAGACTTGGAGAGGTGTAATTTGACCATTATCATAGTGGTCAGTACCGACCAATGACCTCGTTTCTAATCTAAAATCAAACACTCAAAGCTATCTCTTATTCGGTTTAGCTTATAAACGATTATCTTCGCGTTCTACAAGAGAGAGTCTTGAAATGGTGTCAGACCATCTCTGAAAAGGACGTCATATAGCTCCAAGAAATCACCCCACCCCAACCAACCCTTAAAATTCACATTTAACGAAAAATAATACATTTTTCATTATTTTCATTTTTAGAAATTAAATGAAAAATGCTAAGCCAAATTTCTACACACACAACTCTCTCCCCCCCCCCCACCCCAGCAGTGTGACGTCTTTTATGGCCCCCCACCTCTCCAAAAAATTATTTGTATCAGAATGCTTTGATAATGTTTGTGCATGCAGTTGAAGATTTAAATTAAATGCTTTCAGATGATTATACTCGAACAATTATAACCAGAGTAAAATCGAAAATATATTCCAAAAGTACAACTAGGCCATGTGTGCACTTTAGTTGATGTCGGTATATTAGCTGCAGATCCCCTAAACTCTCGTCCTTTCTCATTTCATTACCCCTATTTATATTCAACTATTGAAAAAAAACGCGTATTGCTGAATTTATAATTGCCTACACAGACCTCCGTTATCTCCCCTGGATACGTTTTTTTATTAGCTTCATTTAATTAGAAAACAAAGGTGCATAGTTCTGCTAACTAAAAAATTGAGTTATAAAGCCTAATGTCTTGGAATCCGTTTCTATTTATTCTTAATTATCCTCCCTGATGTTTTTTTTCTACACACTATTACGAAAAAGGGGGCATAATTCTACGCTGTGGTATGCAAGTTATGGAACGTCTCGTCGAGTCAAGTGAAAGTAACTCCGATCCGAGTAGTACACACTCGAGCCAAAGTTAGGTAACCTAGTTTGAAGGGAGGTAATTCATCATTCCTCTTGACACGAGTGCCGCCGCCTGACAGGGTCTTAATGACCACGCCATTAAAATGACTTTACAAATCCGTGGGTCTTTTTTTCTCTCTCTCTGTCTGTCAACTGAAATGTGGTAGGCTAAACCTTTTTAGGGGTTGGGAGGGGGGGGGGGGTGTCTAGAAATGGCGTTCGAAAGGAGGAGGAGGAGGGGGGGGGGGCTGTCGTAGTATGTGGGGTGGGGGTAAAAATGTTAAAATTCTGCACACCCATACACACACAGACACTCACACACACACACACACACACACACACAC